TACTTGATGAGAACATGAAGAAAACCGCTAGTAGGTTTTTGCAAGATAAACTTACCAAAGCGAATTTCTCAATTGTGCCTCTCATTTTTACAATAATGGCAGATATTATACACTCAATTTTTATTCGTTTTATCATTTAAAATACGAATGAACTCTGTCTTTTATAAATTATCAATTACTTCATTAATAAAAGAGTTAAATTTTATCAAAGGCTGGTGCATTAGTGCTGGAACTGACCCTGAATAGAGAGGCAGATCCACTTTAGCATCATGTGAATGTTGTTCACAGTCTAAGGAACACCATCGCGGATGAATTGCATGTATTTTGAAAGTGCGCGAATTTGTGGCACAATCACTTAAAGAAAGAATCAAATACTTGTAATGTTGGTGGTGGCATGATCTTTTCTTTTCTTATTCTGAAATTTTACACTGGTTCTAATTCCATCGAAAAGTTTCTGTCAATGAATTAATTTAGTTTCCCTTACAGATTGCAACATTTCATCCTTCCCTTTTTTCCTTGTTTTGAACTAATCAAAACCAATTTTCTCACCAACAAATTTTGGTGCCGAGATGAAGTGTCTGAAAGTTTGATTAAAAGAGCCGAATATTAAAATCAAAGATCCGAAAACTCAATGACATAGTCGATCTCACTCCACCGATAGACACTTCCACAATAAGAACTTAAACAGCAATATGAAATCAAATTGCGGATCACCGAAAAGAAAATCAGGCGCCATGATTATTATGCTGGTACACTCGAGACAATTATTCAAAAAGGGTTGGGTTTCAATCATATCAACGAAGAAAGATGAGGGAACGAAATATGCGAAAATCCACAAGATATCTTAAATTTAATAGCTGGTACAGGAGAAGCCATCATTACTTTGAATATATATAGTGATGACTATGAAAGAGAACTTCAACGATTGAGTCAAGTAACTCCAAAGGGAAGAGTGAGCAAACTTTGTTTCAGCAGACTAAATTCATTAATCAAAGGCTTCAGACTGATCTTCAATATTTAATCGATATAACGAAATCATCAAAGAATAGTTAAACCAACATAATCGAGAAGGTGTTATCCGACATGAATCAGGTTGGGATCATTCATTATCTCTTTTATCATGAAGTATTAACATCTAGCAAAACCACGACAAAAGTGAAAATTATTAAGACGCATCAGCTCACTTTAAAGGAATGAAAGAAAAACTTAAATGATGTTTTTTTATCGAGGAGCAATAACATTTCCCGACCTAATTTCGAGTATTGTTTCGTTTCCGCACTATGGAAAACGTGATAGTAACAGATACAGAAAAGATATTCCTGTAAATAGAATTACATCCAACAAAGAGAAATTATACTTGATCTCTTTGGTTAAAGGATGTTCGAGGTCTGGTAAACAAAGAAAACGTTAGTTGTTACCGTTCCAAAAGAGTTCCTTTTGGAATCATATAATCTCCCTTTTTATTGTCAGCTACTGATCGAGGTTATATAAGTTTAAGAAAATTCGTGGTCTTAACTGAACAAACACGAAATCGGCTATCTAGGTCCTCTTTCAATTAAGAGTGAAATTAGAATGATGAAGAAATGGGTTGCGTTATTCACCTGTTTCACAGCAAGAGCAGTTTGAACTAGTGGAAAATTTGTCTGCGGGAAATTTCCCACATGTTCTAAGAAGATTCATTGCTCGACGTAGATACCCAAATTTATCAAGTGTAAATAGAATTACATCCAACAAAGAGAAATTATACTTGATCTCTTTGGTTAAAGGATGTTTATCAAAAATTTATCAAGTGATAAATTTTTGAACAGTAACCATAAAATTAATAGCCCCTAATAAAGAACCAATACCAGAAGTATGCAAACCTAAAACTATAACATCCAAAGCCATTTCCAATTAGTCGTCAAAGCCATCATGGAACAAAATACCAAATTGACTAACTTCCTCGCAGAGAAGAAATGATCTGGAAAAATACAGTACCTCTTGGAATTGATGTATGTATATATAAGTGATTGAATTAACAAAAAAAGGCAATGAGAAGAGCTATAGGAAGGAAAATGCTATGGGAAAGAGAGCTGATAACATTAATAGTGGTAATTGCAGGAATTATTAACCTATATAAATTCTGATGATTATGTTATCATTCACCCGGTTGATTTTCTTTCTCCCAACTCCTTGATCTCACCAATGGAAAGGGATCAAGATGGGTATATTATTCATAAACAACCACCAAAGAGAACATCAAATAATGCTCTAATGCTCTTGAAAGTTTGGATACGTCGTGGGAAATATGGAAAAATGAGTATTTGTTGACTCTCAGAGAAAGAACATAAAGAATGCAAGGTTCTCCTCGGATAATGAAATCAAGAATACCATTAAAAAGAGAAGGAAAAATAAAAGAAATCATAAGAAAACGAGATGGGGAATGAGGAATAGCCTGATAGAAATGCTCATCAACAAATGTGCTGTATCCTCTAGAAGTAAGTGAAAATAGTTTCAACAACTCAATCAACAAACCCAATCGAAAAAGAACCTATTGAATAACGATAAATGCTATCGAATGGCGAATGCAAAAAGAAGTAACAAGTAAGTCTAACATAATAATGAAAGTTTTATTTACAATGGATATAGTTTTCACAATATCCATACAAGCAACGCCTGAAGGTAAGATTTCTAGCATCCCATTCAATCTACCCAGAAGATGGAATTGCGAAAAATTGACAGAAAACAATTTCACCCTGAATAAGACGACCGTAAAAACAAGAACGCACGCGCGCAACTGTTATGGCATTTGTATCGCTCACATTTTGTTATTAAATTTTTAACATCATAAAAAATATATTCATAGTTGGCAGGAACTGCAAGTATTTCTCGATTTCCCTCTCTTAAATCGCTTTTACTTTGTACAGACCTCATCAAGCAAACAAATGGTTTTGGATATATTGAAGGAGTAAAGGTTCCCAACAATATGATCACATATTTCCGGCATGATATTATTCGGAAGTGCTTGTCCGGATTACTTAAATTAACTATAGCACATATTGTTCATTAAAAATAGTACGAAAAGTGGCACAGATGGAATATTTTATTTCATAAATATCGAAATAAATTGGAATTTTTATAATGATGATTTAAAAATAAAGTATTAACTCCGCTTGAAACTTTTTTTCTATCTGCGCTACAGCTAAAAATGAAATTGTTTTTTTGAGTTTTTCAAACTATCACACAAACTGTAATATGTACTGTTCAGTACAAAGCGGAAGTTATTTCTCAGAAGTTTTGATTTTCGCTGACAATCTTTACAAAAATTTCGTAGTGATATGACAGTAAGGATCATTATTGGAAATGGAATGAAGAAAATTTCCTGTTTCATCTTTCAGCATAATGAAAGAAGTATAGCCTCTCGCATATGATTTTGAATGCACAGTTGATGATCTATTGATTAGATGGAGCAAAAAGCTGTGAAGATTTTGAAACAAAATAAAAAGAAATGTTATTCGTAGAAAATTTTTGTAAGTACGGAAATCATAAAAATAAATTTTGTCGTTGTTCGTCTGATATATTTTATTACATATTTAAATTTATTGTATATTTATATATTTTATAAAAATATATTTATATTTATATAAATCGTAATATATTTTTTTAAATATATATATATTTATATTTATGTACCTGTATTGTTTGTTACTAAGTGACAACATTTATTCGTACTTATGTGAATACTGTAACTGTCTTTCATAAATGAAAATTAAAATTGAAAATCGTGTAGTTCATTATGACTGTTGCATAGTTTATTCGTCAAGATGATTGGGTTTCAAATCCCTCAGGTATTATTAAGCAAATGGTCAGTTATTGCAATGGATCTTCATTATAAATTCAAATGTTATCCATTTTAAATATATATGAAATTGGTTACTTACAAAAATGTTATAGTTAAGTATAGTTGCACTGTTATTTCGAATTACTGTTTACTTGCTAAGTTCTCTCAAATTATGCTATTTCAAATGCTTCAAAAATTCATAGAAGTTGAAGTTATAAGCTAAAAAGAATTACTTACCAATTGTCTATCTTAAATTTATTAATAACTAAAATAAAAATGCAGAAAAGTATGAATTCTACATGAAATAAATAATAATTCATTAACTAAATACTATTTTCAATTTATGAAGAAGTAATTACAAATAAGCATGAAATTGAAGTATTTAGAAAAATATTACAAAGAAAACTTACTTATTGTTGATGGATGATCACTTAGCTTTCTGCTTTTCCACCCAATTTTGCTTTAGAAAGCTCTTTAAATTACATTCTGAAAGTTTGGTAGAATTTATTTCCCTAAGGTCCATTTCTGACAGCAAAAAAAAAATCTTTCATTTCTCTTTTCTAATCTCTTTATCATACTTTCATGTTTCTGAACGTTTTGTATGTATCATCAGTGAGACTAATACATTTCAAAATACTTCGTTTTCATAACTGATCTTACTTAGGCAGTTATAATCGTACACGAATTAACAATTCAATTTTACTTTCTTGAAAGGAGAAACATTTACTAAATTAGTTAACAATAATGATTTACCTAGCAAAGGTGCGCCATTTAGACTTACCAATTGTTGAATTCTTTTGAATAATATTTCATTGAAATTATTTTATACAATTATATTTCCTATTCAATAATGATTACTCCTAATTAAATATACTACGTAAATTTGTTAGGGAAAGCTATGAAGTTTAGCAAAAATGCATCATTATGATTGATATTCTAATTATATATTAAAATATATATTTTCATTAATCCTTTATTAAATAATAAAAAGTGAAGTGTCACATAGAAACAATTCAGACAACAGTTGACATTTATTAGACAAGAAAGAAAACAAAAATAAACTGATTGAAAAAGTAAACTGTAATGCATTTTTTAATACAAGTGAAAAATTACTGGGCATTTTTTAAAACTATCCACTTTTCTTAAAGATTTATCAATTAACTTTGATCATTTGCCATTATCATTCTCGAACAGTACCACTTTCAACAACCAAATTGTTGTTATCACTACGATGGGATGCAGATGATGAACAACTACTTGTCGTTTGTTCCAGCATACTCGAACTTGCCGTCTCGTGCTCACGATTCGTGAATGGTTCATATAAGTTGAATCTTAAATATACTTTTTAATTATACATAAAAAAGTAAATTTGCATGCTATTTAAGTAGCAATGTGCAAAAGTACAAACATGATTACCTTCAAAAATAAATAAGCAAACAGCAAAAAGAAAAAGTAATTACGTAAAGCCGCCTTGTGTTTCAATTACTACATCACCATCATCATCACTATCTTGATCTGGAGCTACATAGACCACGTTTAAATTTAATTCGCCTTCCTGAAATTGTGCTAAACACAGAAGAAGTAAAATGCCAAATAAAAGATCAAATAAAATTCGAAAGTAATATCTAATAAGCAAATTAATTGTGCTCAATGGCCTCATACTTTGCAAACAAATATGAATTTTAAAAAAAATTAAAATCAGTTCTTCAAAAATATTTGCTACTCTTAAATTTATCTAAAATAGCTCATCAATAACGAACGATTGTAATTATTTTGAACTGAAATATATTGGAAGCTTAAAATTTAGACAGTGCCATTAAAATGGCACATTATAGAATTTTCATCGATGGTTTCATTTAATTTATATTAACTAAAATATTTATAATAATGGAATGTGTCAAAGATTAAATTTAAAAAGCAAAAATGACTTAAAGTATTTTGAAGTAAAAGAAATAATGCACAAGCAATCATTTCAAACCTGTTCGGAAAGTATGTGAACAGCTTCATTATGCTTTGCAGTACGCAAATCAATGCCATTGACGGATAATATGGCATCACCAACAAATAAATTGCCACATCGTTCAGCAGGTTGATTCGGATGAATTTCCGAAATTAAAATTGGTACACCGTGCTCTTTTCCACCCTGAAATCTTCGATAAAATTTTCTTAGATTAGTTTATTCAATAAAAAAATTTTTTTCTCAGATTTTGCGATGGTTCACTTCGCAGTTTTATTGATCCGAATTGTATGATACTTGAAATTACTTGATTTATATTAAGTGTATATCGAGATTAATTAACCTAAGGGAGTATCGCTAACGTCGGATGTATAATAATAATGTATGCATTGAGAAATTGCTTGTATATCATAGATGAAGACAAATCAGGTAAAAGGTCCTCATTGTGAATCCGGACAGAAAATCACCATTTAAAATAAGATGGAGTACAAATAGCACCGTAATAGATATGCCGAGACCTTCGTATGAATCCTTGACAAGTTTAACACTGCGTATTTGTCCCACACCTTTTTTTTTCCGCAAGCTTCTGTAATCATGATGAGGTGGTGATGGTAAATGCTTCTGACTACCTCTTCTTCCTCTGTAATAATTTTATTCATTGCAAACTTACTGTTAATCAAAAATACACCAATATTTAAACTTTCAAAGCTTTAACTAGCACACCTGCATGCTCGAATTACAGTTTTATGACGATGAAGATGAATTTCAGCTTCCAACTGATTCCATAATCGATCGTGTTCAGCACCACGCATATCTCTACCAAGTAATTGGATTTGCTGAATCCTGAAATTGAAGTTTAAAGAATTATGATTTTTGAAAATCACTACCTATTATTAAGAAACTACGCATTATTTCTATTGCTTTTTGAGCCCAATTGATTGAGATAATTTTTGACTTAATTATAACTTTACCAAGAAAAAATTGAAACCGAAAATGTTCCTGAAAAAAGTGAAGATAATGATAGAAGCACTTTTTTCACTTAGTTGAATATTTAAATTATTATCAAACCTTCCGGCAAGCTCTTTATCTAAGTATTTGGCAGCAAGTCGAGCACCATAAACTTCATTTTGCATAGCCAAAATCATTTGACGATATTTTTTGTTTTCTTTACGAAGAAGTTCCACTTCCAAACGAAGTTTTACGGGAGGCCGAATTTCGGACCGAAAGGTTAGTATCTCTTGCTCCTAATTTTTTAAATTGAAAATTGAGTAGCAAAAATTGAGAAATTACTCACATGATAATTTTAATTTCATTGCGAGTTACTTTACGAGTATATCATAGAGAAACTGTTAAATTATGAACCAACTGATCAGTAGTAAAGTCAGTGAAGAAACTGCTCAAATTTTACTTCTTTTCAACAATATAATAAATAAATGGATTCATAAACAATTTAAACAATTAAATGACCAATGTTGTAAACTTTTATTGATCCTTAGCCATACCTCGAGAACAATTATTAACATGAAATACTTCAAGGTTGATGTAAAACATGAGATTACGAATTTTATCTATGCCGTGAGTGATCGGCTGAACTGTTTTTATTAGAATAACATTATTGTTTATGATCTTAAGTTGTATTACTATTCAAGATTGGTCAAAACTTCTTATCACTAATGTCTACTAAGTTTCACAATCAGTAAAAATGATAGTCTGTCAAGAGTATTGAAGCAATTAATTATCTGTTAAATTAACCAATTTTAAATTTTCAGTTACTTTATATGGATTATTTTACTTTGCTTTTCTTTTGGATTCTATTTGAAAGAATTACAAAGTATTATTATCAGTACTAAATAAATCGAGCTTCTTGCTCACTTATATCATTTTATTTTATTCCACTGCTGTTTTTCTATTATTTGATTTTGATTAGAAAACTGTAGCAAAATTTGATATCTTTATATGATACAAAATTTTTGTAAAATGTATCATTGTATTTCATCAATCATTTCGACCTTTAAAAGATCTTTTAAAGAATAAAACTATAATTTGTCATCTGTTAAAATAATATTAAAGAATATATGTCATACCAGTTTTTTCTTGATCATATCTGATTCATGTGGAGCAGTTTTAGAATGTACTTGACAATGCAAGCTGTGTACCTGAAGATTTTTAAAAATTCAATCAAGCTCCATAACACATTGTAAAGAATTATGTTATTTGAGATTTCCTTTTCACTGAAATAAAACCTGAAGCATGAGTTGCTGAGATTCACGTTCAAGTTCATAATGAGCGGATCGTGATAAACATAGATCATCCCTAAGTTGTACCAATTCTGCCTGCAATTTCAACATTGAAAATTATTCATTGTTTTACGGAAAACCTTCATTATATTTTAATTGAGAAGCAAAAGTAACAAATAAAGTATACTTTGATTTTATTAAATAGAAAAAATTATCTCAATAACAAAACCATAAGAAACCTCTTGGCGCACATTGCACTGGAAAATCGTTTGCGCTTTATGGACGAGCTGAGCAAATGCACTACTGAGCGCAATCATTTTTTGACGACTCTCGAACATTATATCTGCCTGCATAACCAAAAATTTTTAATTTTAAGAAGTATCAGCAGAATTATTTAAGCAAATCATTTTGAAGAACAATTGAAGTTGTATCGTTTCAATTTTAGAGATTTAATTGCAATTTATGAATGATCTGTAAAATGATTTCATACGAGAGGAGATGAAAACAGTTGTTCGAAATATTCGTCCCATTAATGTTAATATTGCAGCTTACACTGATATAATATTTGTGATATAAATTAAATTCATTTGTTAGAAACTTGAAGTTTTTATGAGAGATGTAAATGAAGCACTTAAAGAATCTTAATCAAATTTAACAAATTAATCCTCTTAATAAAATTATCAGTAAAAAGATTGGTGAGGAAAAGAAAAATCGAAAAAGAGAGGTCAGTTACCTGATCAGAATCAATTTCTCCTAGCAATAAATCCAAATCGACAAATGCTTTATCAAAATCTTTCTCCAAAGCATCTAGCCAGACTAACATGGGACCAACAACTGGCCGCTCGTCCAATGCTGCCATTCTGCAACACATTTGGAATTTGCATCTGATAATAAATGTGAAATTAAGTTGTAAACGTTTGGCGGAGATTTTTTTTTTTGAGAGCTAACTTGACCTCATGTTTTAAGCATTTCGAAAGGTCAACTTTTTACTATCAAAAAATACATGCAAAACAAAATGACTATGGTGACATATACTAAACTAATAATATTAAAAAAGAGAAGATATAATGTTCCATTCAGCCGAGTTGAATTTTAGAGGAAACTTTTACATTAGCATTTAAAAGCACCATCCCACAGTTATGCACAAAAAAGGTGTTCCAATTAAAGTTTAACAATGTTATTTATCAGTTTATCAGCAAAACAATGAAGTACGAAAAAAAACACAACTATGATGATGTATATTAAAGTTAATTTATTAACTTTAAGTATGAAAGTAACCATAGCAAGTCTAAATTATGATACTTATGATATTAAATTATGATATTACGAATGGATAATTATATGCAAATTATTGTTTATTTCTATGAAAGATATTTATTTGCATATTAGTTTAATTGAAATGATAAGAATAATAGACTTGCTTAAAGTGTATTAAGCATATTCATTCATTCTGAACAGAAAGAAATTCAAATGAGCCACATGATGATATCATAGATAACAGAAATAAGATGCATTAATTTGTACTATATTTACTAAAAAGAAAAATCTAGTAAACAAGCTTTTACTCTGAATAAGCTTACTAAAAGAAAGAGCAAAGAGTTAGTGTTAAATTACGAAATATCTTGAAATAAAAACGGAAACAATTCCGGTTAAGACACAAAAATTAACCAAATTTTTTTAAACAGTAAAACAATTACGATTGTTAGCTAAAATATCATTTCATTCCAAAATTAGTTTAAGTTAGTTAAGAGATCAGAAAGAATATATGAAAAATAAGAAAAATTCATTTGCTAAAAAGCTACGAGCTAAACAAAATTTTGATATCGTAAAATTTGTGGAAAAAATTGAAATAACTGCAAAAAGGAAGAATATATTGAGGAGAGAATGGACCTGAAGAAAAGTAACCGGTCCCGCGAATCCGTTTTCTCTCAATGATGGATTTTTTGTTATATACATAGAAAAAATCTATCTATCTATATATATATATATATATAAAAT